CACAAGGGGAAGAGGAGAGGGATCAAACTCCCATGGTAGCTAACCTGGTCCTGTAAAACAGTATTAATCCATTCTTGAGGCTCCACCTCCATGACCCTGACACTTCACACTAGGCCCACTATTGAAAGCTGCTGCACTGGGGAATTAATGCCCAGCATGAGTTTTGGTTGGGACCTATATTCAAACCATAACCGGACTCAACTTGGTCTGGGTGGAGCCCTAGCACCTGTCAATCAGCTTTGAATGTTTGCCATTTCTGAGACTATAGTGAGGATCATTTGATTACTTAGAAATTATTTGAACAAAACTAACTTTACTGATTATCCTATGGGCACTGAATCAGCAACCTCTTTCCTGACCAAGCTCATTTCTGCAAGAGGCTCAGAGTCAACAGAAGTAGAGGCTGATCTCTCCCAGCAGCTTCATAAGGGAGATTTTGTTCCTAAATATGAAGTGGCAATGGAGTTGCACCCACTCCTCCAAATCTCTGACCAAGTCAGTAGAAATTAGTGAACTCTCCACCAATAGAATTTGGGTAAGTTGGCTTTCCCAGCTATTATGGTCACTAATCAGATGCCTAATTTTGTTGTAAGAATCTGAATGACCCTTGCCCATTTCTATGTATAGATAACACTGAATTGTTACAAGGAAAACTGTCTTTATTCTACATATACCAAGTGCAGGTTTGTTGTGCATGTGGACCTTTCTTTCCATGACACCTAGGGAGCTAGGCACGAACTCCCAGATCCACAGTGAAGGAGTCAAAGCACAGGTTAAGTATCTTATTTAAAGTTATGCAGTTGGGATGGGTAGCACCAGGATACTAGCCCAGCCATATGACTCAGGGTCCACACTCTTTTAGCCATGACACCACATGGCTGCTTTGTGGAGTCTGTGTGCTGAATCTGGGTCAGATGGGCTGAGGCTCCAGGTTGAACCCACTCAGCATCACCCCCATGATGCTGCAATTCATTTAGTTTCTTCAAAGGCCAGGGCCCTCTGCAGTGGTGAGGCTTTCAATACAAAGATAGACAGGAGAGATTAATTACTAAATGGTGAAAAGCAAAGGGATGTCCAGTGGCATTATTGCTCAAAAAGCCCTCAAAGAGGGCAGCAGCTCCCTGTACTAACATGAAACAAGATTTTGAATCCCAGCCGCCTTCATGTGAACAAGGGTGCCCAAATTGTCCCCACCCCCTTTTTGAGGGAGATACTGGGGATTGAATTCAGAGGCACTCGACTACTGAGCCACATCCCCAGTCATATTTTGTATTTTATTTAGAGATAGGGTCTCACTGAATTGCTTAGCTCCTTGCTTTTGCTGAGGTTGGCTTTAAACTCATGATCATCCTGCCTCAGCCTCCTGAGCCGCTGGGATTATAGGCAGGCACCACCACACCCGGCATGTGTTTGTTTTTATTAGGAGGAAAGTGTATGCTGTGGTGACGCAGAGGTAACAGATGCTGGCCCTCACAGGCATGTGCACACCAAGTGGCTGACGGCGCTGACTTATGATGAGGGAGGCAGGTGCTCCCCAGAAGAACAGAATTTCTCACCATGATTCTCAAATCCCCTTGGCTATTGTTCAATATGTACTCACTGCAGCATGGAACATGATCCAGGACAGACCACATGCAAGTGTAATAATTGTCAGCATCCCTTAACAAAGCACCACAGACCGGGCAGCTTCACCCACAGAGCTGCCTCGCAGTTCTGGAGGCGGTCAGTGTCCAGATTTCCCATTTTTATAAGGACATCAATCATATTGGAGGGGGGCCTCCTGCAATCTAGCACAGCTTCCTCTTAACTAATTATATCAGCAATGACCCTATTTTCAGGTAAGGCCACATTCTGAGGTGCTGGAGGTTAACTTCATCGTATGAATTTTGGAGGAGATGCAACTTGACCTGTTATACCCACCAAGAGTACAGGGTGTAACATTTCACTATACTGAACATTAACTTTCCTGTTGTTCCTGGTTGCAAAGTGTCCATTTGAAAGTTTTTACCTTCCAACCTGGTAAATGGGGAAGAGAGTATTAAAAACTTCTGCATACAAGTCCACACCAACAAAAACAACTGTGAGTTCTTGTCCCTCCTGAGATTTAACAAAAGGGGTTGGAGTGAGGAGTTCTATTCTTTGGCCAGACTCTGGCATGTCCCTTTTGTGACTTGTGGCCATCTCCCAAACATCTCTATGTCTTTGACTCTTCGTTAACAAAATGGGGGTGATAAAAGTTTCTTTCCAAGACACCATAGAGGTCAATGGTACAACAGGTATGAGAATGATGAAGAAGCAACTTGGTACCCTGTAGCCCTGGATACTTTATTTAAAGACTGGCATGTGTGGCAGTGAGCAAAGGGTATTGTACCCTTGGGCAACCTTTTTCTCAAACTTGAATATAAATCCTTTCAGGCTTTCTGGATGGCAGCTGATGCCAACCCTACCAAAGAAACTTTTATTTTTCTTTTTACCAAATAAATTTTTTGAATAAGGAAAGAGGTAAGAACCAACAGGTGCAAGAGGGTACTACTGATCTATGAAATTTGTACCCAGATAACTTTATCGCACTTCTCTCATTTTCATGTAATTTGATCATCTTTGGACATTATTCAGCTTTGCTTTTAAAAAATCATTAAAATATCAAACCACACCATTTAACAAGAGAATATGTACTTTGATACTTGAACAATTTTGTAAATTTTGCTATTTGGGACGAGGTGATGAAAATGGTGCTTTTTCAAGTGGGCCAGGTCATTTCCCCAGTGTCAGTTGCTACCCTCCACAGGCTGTACCCCAAAGAGGGGAGGACAAATGACCACAAAATGAGGTTACAGAGTGGTAGTTGTGAAACTTCATGGAAGGGTAGGGACTGTGGGTGCTTCACAGGGCCAGGAAGGCTTTCCAGAGAAGGTCACCTGCTGAGGAGTCATTCCAGAAAGCAGAACTAGCTGGTCACCAAGTGTTTCCTGAAGGCCTTAGGTATGAGCTATTGGGTAGATGGGTTGGGAACATGCTCCTACTTTAGGCAAAGACCATGAGGCATCATTATCCTCAACTCTCTGGTAGAAGCAGGTGAAAAGAAAGTTGATAGGTGACCATGTTGAACCTTTTACAAAAATGGCAATTCATGGAGCTCAAGCTAATACTAGTGCCAAAGAAAATGGAAACACCAATTCTAATCCTTGGGCCCATATAACAGAATGTGGGCAGTGGATTCCAAGCTATTAGAATTCTGGGATCTTCTAAAATAGACCAATACCTGGACAGAATCAATTAAATCAGAGTTTCTGTATGGTGCCTCCTGAAGTGTGCTTAACCTCTTCTGGTTACCAGTATTTCTTTCTTTCTTTCTTCTTCTTCTTTTTTTTTTTTATCACATTGGTCATGCAGTCACATATCACATATATACACACAGTAATAATAATGTCTGTTTCATTCTACTATCCTTCCTATCTCCCCAAACCCTCCCCTCCCCCCATCACTTCTCTCTACCTAATCTAGGGTAATGCCATTCTTTTTTTTCTCAAGTATTCATACATGTATTTTGTATAACAGTGAGGGTCTCCTTCCACCATCCATGCAATTCCCTTTCTCCCTCCCTTTCCCTCCCACCCCTCTTCCCTACTAGAGGTAATCTTCTTCCCATGCTCTTCCTCTTTTCCCCATTTTGAGTCACCCCCCCCCCCCCATATCAGAGAAGACATTCGGCATTTGTTTTTTGAGGATTGGCTAACTTCACTAGCATAATCTGCTCTAATGCCATCCATTTCCCTGCAAATGCCATGATCTTATTATTTTTAGTGCTGAGTAATATTCCATTGTGTATATATGCCACATTTTTTTTATCCATTATTTCATGGAACTCTTAGTTCTTGGTTTATCCGCATGATCGTAGAGGGGGCAATTACCTGGGATTTTCGCTAAAGGAGGACAGAATTAACGACCCTAGGGCCCCATCCTGAAGTATCAGCACAAAGTTCTCTCACCTCCAGTAAATGTAACCCCATGCGCTAGTGGGACTCTCCCTACCACTTACCCTTCTGAAAATAGAAAGTATCTCTCCCTCATTTGGGCATCCACCTTGTCCTTAGGGCAAACAGCACCGCTGTCTCATCTGTAATCTCTCCCCTAACCCCTGCACCTACACCTCACATCGTGTACCCTGGACAGAGCAGTGCCAGGACCCTATTCTGGCTTAGTTCAGCAATAGAAATGACCCCTCAGGCGGAACCCCAGGGGTTCTGCCTCTGGAATTTCATCCAGCCCCTCCCCACACCTCCCCGCCTGCAGCTCCTGCCCGCTCCCGCACACCCAGAGGAGCCCTGGAAGGATCCTCCATAAAAGATCCCCGCGTGCGGACTGAGGGGCCCGGGTTCGAATGCCATAGGCCACTGCCACTCTCCTCTCCGCTCTGGGATGGGGTGGGGAAGCGGTTCTTTTTGGTTACACCCGGCCATGACTCTGGGTCCACAGCCCGAGCCCCGGCTCTTTTCGAGTGACCTGTTTTTATTTGGGGAGGGGGAACACATTTGGCAAGACTACCTCTCCTACCACGAGAAATTTCAGCGTTTTTAGCGTTCCAAAAGACTCCCAGGGGGTGGGTTCTACTGTGCACGAGTGGGGAAACTGAGGCTCAGAGGGATAAGGGAGGTGCCAAGGTCACGCGACCCCTTTGACGGGCGGGGACGTGGGGCGCTGAGTTGGGACGCGGGCCGTGCGCATCCAGGACCGCTGCTCCCGGGGCTCGGCTGTCGCAGCGCGGTCGCCTCGGAGGACCGCGGCCGGGGCGCGGGCGGGCGCCAGTGCGCAGGCGCGGCGGGCGGGAGGGGACGCGCTCGGGGCGCGCGCGCTGGGCAGCCGGCGCCCCAACTCCGCCCGCCCCGCGCCCCGGCGCCTAGCCGCCCGCCGCCCGCCCGCCCAGGCGCCGCCGCCCGCGCCCCGGCGCCCCGGGCCGGCGAGGGGCGCGCCCGTAGCCGCTGCCGCTGCATGGCGCTGAGATGGCGGGGGCGCCGCGCGGCCAAGGCGGCGGCGGAGGCGGCGCGGGCGAGCCCGGGGGCGCCGAGCGGGCGGCCGGGCCGGGCGGCCGGCGCGGGCTCCGGGCGTGCGGCGAGGAGTTCGCGTGCCCCGAGCTGGAGGCGCTGTTCCGCTGCTACACTCTGCGGCTGGAGCAGGCAGCCACGCTGAAGGCGCTGGCTGTGCTTAGCCTGCTGGCGGGCGCGCTGGCACTGGTCGAGCTGCTAGGTGCGCCGGGGCCCGCGCCCGGCCTGACCAAAGGGTCGCACCCGGTGCACTGCGTCCTCTTCCTGGCGCTGCTCGTGGTCACCAATGTCCGGTCCCTGCAGGTGCCCCAGCTACAGCAGGTCGGTCAGCTGGCGCTGCTCTTCAGTCTCACCTTCGCGCTGCTGTGCTGCCCCTTCGCGCTGGGCGGCCCCGCCAGGGGCTCTGCCGGGGCGGCTGCGGGGTCAGCCGCCGCGGAACAGGGGGTTTGGCAGCTCCTTTTGGTCACCTTCGTTTCCTATGCCTTGCTGCCCGTGCGCAGCCTGCTGGCCATCGGCTTTGGGCTCGTGGTGGCTGCCTCGCACTTACTGGTCACAGCCACCTTGGTCCCCGCCAAGCGCCCGCGTCTCTGGAGGACGGTAAGTGCTGCCACGCGCCCCCCTCCCTCGTTTTCCTTTTGGTCTGAGACACACCTGCCTAGCGGGACTGGGAGTGCCCAGAGTTGGGCGCGCTTTTTCCTACCCGGCGGGTGGGGAAACTGAGGTGCTAAATGGGGGGTGGTTGTTCAAGGTCACTCAACAAGCTGGGGACGCAGTAGGGACTAGCACTTAGCCCGGGCTTTTTCCCGAGATAGCGTCCACAAAGCGGCTCTGGGCGTGCGATGTGGAGACGCGAGACAGGTGTGGAGAAGGGGAGGATTGGCCAAGGTCGGGCGGATGGTGAGCGTTCAGGAGGGGCAAGAGTAGGATTCACTACTGTTTCACTAAACCCATCCTTACAGAGGGTGAAAGTGGGAAGGGGCGCGGGCTCCAGGCCGGGCTCCTCCTTTGGAGTGCAGCCCGAGGCTCCTCCCTCGCTTGCCTGGAGCGCGTTTGGGGCTCACCTCTCATCCCTGAGGACCCGGGGTAGAAGGGGGGGGGGGCTTTGTCGTCCCGTGTGGACCCGCCATGGTCCAAAAGGAGCAGGGTTTTGCCAAGGTCACACACCTCCAGTTCCTCCCGCCCCACTCCACTATCGCCCTGACCCTGGCTCCGCAACGCTGGAACTTTGTCACTGTCTTCCCAGCTTGGCGGGAGTGGTGGTTGCAAGGACAAGGACGCAGGACGTCTGACTCCTGCGGGCTCCTCTGGACTCTGAAAGCGTCTGTTTCTATCAGGCCACCCCACCCTGATGGGAGATGGACCAAGCGAGTTTGCTCCCAGGGATATGGGGAGCTTTCCCTGGTGCCCACACCACTTGGTGCAGAGGGATGGTTTTGTTTTTGTCTCTGACTGCAGTTTAGCAGGAGGGTGGTGTGAACCAGATGGGTTGGGGATCCCCTCTAAGGAAAGAACGTGGCTGTGTGTTGGGGGGGCAGATGGGGAGAGAAGGGGGGGGCAAAGGGGAAGCTTGACAGAGGGAAATTCCAAATTGGGCAAGAATAACGTGGTGGGGGAGGTGTGTGAGATAGTGTGTTAGACAGTATTGCCTGGGGGACCAACAGGATCATCCCCCAAAGACCCAGAGGATCTGAAGACCAACACCCAAGACACTGATAGGAGGGGCAACACTTGGGCAGAGGGGCCATGGGATGCACAACTAGGCACAGGGCAGGCACATCTGGCTTGCAATTTAAGGTCAGAGAGAGACTGGAATGTGCTCAGACCCATGGCAAAGAGCACAGGAGGAAAAAGGGAGAATGTGTAGAGCAGAACTGGCAAGGAGGGGGTTGGGAGTGGGAGAAGGAGAAGTAGGGGTGAGGACCAGAGTTAGAGAAAAGGGGAGGAGAAAGGCAGAAAAGAGAGGAACAAAACCATAGGGTTGTGTGTGGGGGTAGGGTTCTCCAGCATGCCCCTCTACTGCCTCCTCTGGGCAGCGCCTGAGCTTTCTATGACCATTCTCAGAAGGATCCTCCCATGACTCCCTGGCCCCTCTTCTACCTCTATTTAGCCTCATGCTGGTCCTCACAGCCAGACTGTATCCACAAGATAACCTCCCCATTCTGAGGGGGAGGGAGGACAGATGCCAGGAAAGCTAGGAGGTGGGAAGGGGACCAGGGATCCCATCAGGCTATGCTTCCCTTGTGCACATCTGGGAGTCAACAGGTGCCATAAAAGGCTGTGTAATTGTTTCCTTTTAAAAGAATTTTCCCTTGCAGCCTCTAGGCATTCCTTTCAGAGAAAAGGTTATAAAAGAGAAGGGGAGACTACAGTAGTGTCTTTGCCCCTCCCCATGGTGTAAGAGGAGCCCCTGTTACTCTGGGGGGAGGGCAAGAGAAAGCCTATCCTGGGGGCAAGGATTCTTAGCAGATACAGGCTACTAGCTCCCCTGGCAATGTAAACCCCTCCCTCACCAAGTCTTGGTTTCCCCACCTATATAAAGGGATAGCAGTCCCTCTGCAGTGCAGTGTAGCCAAGGAGAAAAATCCATAGTGGAAAAGCACATATTGGAAATCTTCTGCCACTTCTAATCATTTTGGCCTCAAGAATGTTCGTATACCACACTACAGGTTGGTAGGATATTGACAAATAGGTGGAGATCAATGCAGAGAAACCTATAGTGAGGAGGGGCTAGGTGATCCCTCAGGGATTTTTGTCTTCTTCAAAGTTCTTCTGTAAAGCCTGTCCTTAATGAGCTCTGCAACTTTGTGCTTGAGATGAGGGAGAAAGGTGGCACTTGCATTAGGGAGCAATGGCATTTCTGCTCCTCCTCTCTGCTTTTCTGCTGCCTCCCATTGGGCCTGTCACCCTGCAGTGCACTCACCTGCTGACAGTGCTTCCTTCTCAGCTGTGAACTCTAGGGAGGCAGTAACCATGCAGGCAAGGGGTGGATCCCCCAAAGAGACTGAAAGGTGGACAGAATGAGGGGTGTTGTCCCTGTTGCATATGTAGCAGGGCGTTGCTAGTGCTGAGCCCCATGAAAGCACCAGGAAAGCACTAGCTGTCTCCAGAGTCAGGTCAATGTTCTTAGCAGAGAGGTGCTTTCCCCGGATCTCAGACCCAAGTGCTTTCTTGTCAAGAATAGCCCTGAAGAGGCCTGGAGAAAGTCTGCACTTTACACAAGGGCCTGGGTTCATTCAAGTCCCTGCTCTGTGCAATGGAACATGTCTCTTTTCAGTCACTGCCTGTCTGCAAGGAGGCTCCTGGAGCTCCTACAGCATTCCTGTGCCACTTCTGGTGGACTAGGCTCTGAGTATGTGGCCCCTATGCTCTAGGGCATCTAGTTCCTCTTACACAGAACCCAGGCCAGCCCTAGGACACTGGGAGGTGGAGAGAAGTGGAAGCCAGGTACATGGCTATTCACATGTAGCTAGTACTAGCCCCTCCCCCAAAGGGTGTGCTTGATACTGATGCCCTGGAGAGCACAGAGGTCTTTAGGGAAATGGCCTTATTCCCCCTGAGACCCAGCAGAGAGGAAGTGCCCTAACTGTGCCCTGAGTTCTTCCCTCTTTCAGTCCCTTGCTCTCAGGTCATTCATGTACCTAAACAAAATACATTTTTGTTTTGTTTAATTGGGCTACTGTTGGAATTGATAGCATCCTGTTTAAAAGCATTTATGGGAAAAGGCTGGCCAGGTGGACTGGAGAGTGTTGGAGTTGGCTGGAGATGAATGAAGCACCCTGTGAGCTGTGGGACATTGTGGGTGGGCAAGAAGTGGGAATGGGATGGGCCCTCTGATGATGCCCCTCACTCTAGGTACTAATAAAGTCTCTGAGGGAGGAGGTGACAGACTCTTTGATGTGGACATGTTCAGGGTTACCAAGGGAGTGGTGGGAGTTGGGAAAAAAAAGCAGGAGTGTGTTGGAAAAGGTCCTTGCCCTGGAATACTAGTGAAGGGCAAAGGGAACCTTGGGAGAATGGTGCCCTGTACTGGGCTCACTGGCTCAAGGTCCCTTCCCTCAGTGGTCCTTCTCCTGCCCTGCCCACTCCTGTGTGTAGAGCAAAGAAGGCAGACCCCGCCTCTCCCAGCTCTGAGCTTCCTCCCTGTGCTACCTTGCTCTGCACCTCCCCCAAATGCTTGCTTTTTGTCTGCTGTGAGTCAGGATTACTGCTATTATTTTTTTATTTTTGAAGTGGCAGAGGTCTATTGCCTTGTACACAATATGTGTCAATATGGTTACCTTTCATTACAAAGGGAATATATTTTGGTTTCTGCTGAGTTCCTAACCACAGGCAGAATAAAAGAAACCACATTATCACAGATGTCTGCATGACCCCATCCCTGCCTGCCATCAGAGCTATCAGCATTCCCTTTTTGGGGCTTACCATGGTTTTGGATGCTGTCCCTTTCCTGTCTCTGAGGGATAGAGGGCCAGGGCTGAGCTCCCTGGCTTGATAGGTTCCTGCAGGGGTGGAGCCGGGTGGCTCAGATGTTGATAGACAGGTGGGCAAGTGCAACACCCCTGCACTTCAGGGGTGTTGGTGTAGCAGTGTGACCTGGGGCACAGGATGATCCCCCTGCTTCAGTTTCCTCCACTGTCAGTGGGAACAGTTGTTCATTCTGCAGGTTTGTAGGACAGATGCATCTTCCAGATACTGTATGTGGATTGTGTGGCGGGCATTCTTCCTCTTGCCTGTGCCATCGGGGCTCAGTGGCAGGGGAGCAGCCATGCCACTTACTCTCAGCAGCTGTTCCTAGCTGGTGACCTGCTAGTTTGATTTAGTGAACCTGAACTGTCAAGCGTCAGAGTGAAGCTGGTCTAGATCACATGCTAGGAGAGACCCCATGATGCAGATAGCAGTCCTCTGTCTGTTCTTTATCAACTGTAACGGCAGGAGTAGGACAGCACAGTTAGAGTGGGCCATATGGCTCTAATGGAGGTGGTGTCCCCATGGAGAGAGCCTGTGTGTGTCCATCCTGTCAGGCTGGCCCTTTTCCAGCCAGCCAGGTAGCATGGGAGGCTGCAGTGGCAGGGCCCCAGTGTGGACAGGAAGAGCAGTGTAGCTTTTCTTAGGGGAGAACCTGTTCTCACAGCCACAGGCTTCTGTTTATCTTAAGGTCTGAATGAGGTAAGGGGCAGAGTATTCTGCTCTGCAGGATGCTGCTTTACGCTGGCTGAGGATGTGAATCATGTCTGTTCCACTCCTTCATGCTCTCACACACATGCACACATGTCTACCCATCCACCCTACCACACCCATTCCCACACAGACACTTATATATATATATGTATATATATATATATATATATACACACACATACACACACACACACACAAGTCAGTCATTCTTACACTTACATACACACTCATGCATGTGCACATATGCTCACACAATAGTCACACTCATATACTTTACACTTTTACAAACCCACCGGCATCCACACAAACTCCCATACATGCACTCTCAAACTCAGTCTTACACTTACACACACGTGTACTCACAAACCCTAAGCACACACACCAATGCATATTCACACACTCATAACACTTGATGCACA